CTGATTAGCTTCCAGCTAGTGCCAGTGTCTCAGTGCTAACTGATTTGCTTCCAGCTAGTGCCAGTGTCTCAGTGCTAACTGATTTGCTTCCAGCTAGTGCCAGTGTCTCAGTAAGATGATGGGCCTAACCTGGAGCTCTTCTTCCCAACACCAAAGCAGTGATAATCCCAGTTCCTCCAGAACCAGATTGACTCTCAGCCATCTCTCTGATTCTCTCCCAGGATGTGTTCTTGATATGCTTCTCCCTGGTCAGTCCGGCCTCCTTTGAGAACGTCCGAGCTAAGGTCAGTACGCTGACCGTCCAACCTCCACCCGAGTCCAGTCTGACCATACGGAGGCACATCTATAGCGCCCCCTGGCTCGTGAGACAGCCGCTCAGTCCTCGCCTTGGAACGGTTTGACGTTGATCTGGCTCAGAGCTCAGGCAGCCGTTGCAAAGCGAGGCCTGACGGCGTGCCGGCGCTCTATGGAGGGGGAGTGGGCTGGGGTTTGGTGTGCTGAGCGCAGAGACGCTCCCATGTCAAATCCCCCACTGAATGACGCCCGGCCCCTCTGCAGAGTCCCTTACCATGTGATGTGATCTGAGCTCCGTGTCGATTCCTTCCTGCCTGTTATCATCGTTGTGAAAAGGCGTGTCAGACTCTTCCTCTGCTCCCAGCTAACCTCTCTGTTTCTCTCCTCACTGACGTTGCCCCTCACCCCGGGGGGCTGCAGTGGTACCCAGAGGTCAGACACCACTGCCCCAACACACCCATCATCTTAGTGGGGACCAAGTTGGACCTTCGAGATGACAAGGACACAATCGAAAGGCTGCGGGACAAGAAGCTGTCCCCCATCACCTATCCTCAGGGCCTGGCTATGGCCAGGGAGATCGGTGAGGCTCTGATGCGGAAACATGACAGACATTCCTGTAGCAACATGTAGCTTTACACCGAGCAGAGATGAAGATGACGGTGGTGTCTTGAGCACAGTTTAGAATGATGAAGGTCTGAGTTCTTTAGCTCTTTTCACCAACATTAATCCACAGATTATTAAGATTAAATAATCTGATTTTAGATAAACAATTGCAAATTCAAACAGACCCACAGCTGACTGAATGAAACGAGGAGGCACAGACTCCAGAACTAGAACAGATAGAGCTACAAAGCTACAATGCAATGATGCATGCCACAAATGTAAAATTCAGCTTGATTAAAAGAAGAACTCACAAATACTAAAGGGCGTTTCTTTCACAGGAAAACAGGCAAAATGTGTTACATTATAAATTTGAAACAAAAGAAAAAATATCCAACCACTTAGTAAGATTTATAAAAATAAAAAGAATCGCAATATTAACAGGAATCCAAAGTTTCATTCAATAATAATTCAGTATAAATATATCAATAACCCAAAAACCTTCGCGTCTTCCTCTCCAGTCAAGCGCACACGCCCCTTTTTATGAAGAAGTTTCTCCACACCAAAAAAACCCAGCATTTTAATTCCCAACATCATTTTTAACCAGTGGAGATTCTAAATAACTTTCCCAATGACATAACTGTTCTACAAGACAGTTTGTTAACTGTACACTCTAATGTACTTCATACAAAAAAAGAAAATAACATAGTGGTTATGTTACACAAACATGAGAAAAACTTGACATTATTTAGAACTGCAGCATAGATGTAGAATGAAGCAGAGGGAAGAAACATGGTCCCCATGTCCTCCAGCAGCCTGAGCCTATAGCAGCATAGCTGAAGGATATTAGCTACATTAAAAAACATCGGAATCAACTTCTTTTCTTCACCTTGTTTAAGAAAAAGGCCATGACTCTGATTTCAGAGACATTTCTTCCTATTTACATTTTAAAGGACATTAGGCCATCAATGCAGCTAATGTGAAAGATATGTTTAATATTTTAAATATATTTCTAATCTGACGGATGCTCTTCAAAGATGTCCAATATTTTGAGGAAAATTAATTGAAGGTGTC